GGCAAAGTTTCATCTGCTTCTTTCTAAAGGGATAGCGCAAAGGGATTGGTGCGAGACTGGTAAGTGTTATCCCATAACAGTTTGTACAGAAATCGAGAAGTACCATTTTACTTTAAATTGTCCATTCTAAGGTGGCACTTCTTGTTTGTCAGTAGCGTAAATCAACTTTTTCATGCAAATAGTTTTTCCTATGGATCTGACCTACTTAAGATGACTTCAGGTTTTTTTTTTGTTCACACCTTCCAGACTTACTGATAGTCTAATTCTTGATGGCACTACGCTGTTTTGTGCTCGTACTTTTGTAGACTTCAAAGTTTTGCAGAGGAAGGAGTAAAGTAATGTTTATACAGTAAATATTTGTTTGTGGCCTCGAACATCTAAAGGGTTTAGGTGCTTGCCACTAATGAGTTTTATAATTTCTGCTTTATTCTCACTTCTCCTGGCTAATCGAAAATTACCTATACGCTCATAACTTTTTTTTTGTATCCACAAAATTTGGCTGCGTGCTACATAAGACGACAAAAATTGTGAGCAACAGCTTTTCTGGTAATATTTTGACTAAATTTCTATTTTTTTTAAAGTCTTTTGGTTAAATAGAACAGACGGTGCGGAAGGAAACACTTGCCCAACTAATGAAATTTTTTTCTGCTATTCAGCTTACTGAAGTTGTTCTGTGTTATTGCGGGAAGGCAAAAGTGACGTGACGGCAAGGAGAGCACTCGATGTGGAATCAAGCTGAGAAAGCAGAGTTACAGAAAGCTGCAAGTAAATTCCGTTGATTCATCGTCAAGAATGCCTACCGTGCAAAAAAGTGCAGGCAAAAAAATACGGTTTGATACTGGGTGCTTAAAAAGTGTGGAAGAGACACGCAATTATGTTAGGTAAATCTGACTCACTCAAAAAGAATGAGGACAAAAAGTGAGGAGAAGTCGAGGGGAAAAAGTTGTTTTCGAAATAAATAGCATAAAATAAAGCTGTATTGAGAGTTTCTTTCTTTTTCTTCTTGGTGTACTTTTTTTCAGCTTTCTATGCATTTCGCCTCTGAGGATTTTGTAGCCCCTGCCAACTGCTCTGTTGCGATGTGTTATAGCCTCTGGAATTATTGCGTGTTTTTCGCCTTTGCGGGTCGTGCTAGTAAACGCTCTTATCCATTTTGCTGGAACTGAACCTCAAGTTTAGTTATACATAGTGGTCAATGATAGAGTTCCAATATCAGTTTTGGTATCTGCCTTTCCTCTTTGATACGTTTTCGTTTTTCAGGTTTCACAACTGTTCATGTAGGCGCGAACAGATTGGAGAGTTTAGTCAGTCTAAATTGTCCAGAATTAAGTTTGCCTTCAGACGAATTTGTACGTCAGCATCCGATACCCGTGAATACATGTCAGAATTACTCGATTTAATTATGTCATTTTGAAATATTTGTTTTTGGTTGTAACTTGTTTCAGGAGCTAAATCGTAGTGGAATTATATCCACGTACATTTGAAATAAATGGATGCACTGCTGAAGGAACCGTTTTTTATGACTACTATTTATGGGGTATGAATCTTTAAATAGTGACCTTAACTCGTTTACTTTTGTATCGTTAGAAATTTTACTCGAGTATGATACAAACAGGCTGCAGCTTCCAGTGTGAAGTGCAGTAAGACGCTATCGTACAGCATGGCTGCGGAATTAGGCTAGAAGTTCTGATTTTGGTGATTAATTGTCAATCCACTGAATTTGAGAGTCAGTTCAATGTTATGTCGTTTTTGACTTGACTGCTGGAACGTCTTGGCATCTCGAATTGGTAACATTGACCTTTTATTTTTGCCTTTTTATTAGTAAGAAGTGTTGTCACTTTGACGCCTGATACAAAGAAATTCATTTTAGATTGCTAATGGTCATTATTTTGAAGGGCATTATCTTTGAAAGGTTTACACGGTGCAAACAAAAGAAATTATTTTACTGGTTATATGTGGAGTTTAGGAATGGAAACCATTGTTGCGTCTTTTACCAGCCGTGAAATGGTTTCGTTACGCACTCAGCATTCCTTATTATGTTCCGTTGACGGTAAACCACTATTAACTTTTAGAATAAATGTCTCAGATTGTTATGTGAATGGTTAGGCAAAGTATCATCTAGGCTATAATCAAGTTTAAAAGTTGAAATGGAGTTGTTTAATATTGACCATCCAGTCTTGAGAATTATTATGGGGCAGCCGCTCTTCAACCTATTTTGATTTGCTACCGTCATTGAGAAGCGTTCAAGTACAAGGCAGCTCGAATGACTAGAAAATAGCTTTTTTTATATTTCCGGTGTTTACTGAAGGGAACGTCCTAGAAGTTGTGCTGACTTTACACATTATTCTTCTTCGTCTCGCTGTCCAAGTTCTTGATCGTTTGATCGTTATGCTAATTTTTTGCATTGCTAGAACTTGGGGGGCTAGCAAGAGAGGATATGTGGAATTTGGTGGCTGGGCGGGACTTGTGATTTGTTCCGCATAAGTCCGCTTAACCTGTACGTGTTCTGCCAGGTTGCGCGTTAGAATCATTTGAGCCTCTAATCTCTTTCATTCCGGTTTCAGTTTTTGAGGAACGGCAAGAAAGTTTGTTATTTTAAATAAGTACTTCAGCTATAGTAGTGACTTTTAAGAAACTTTATTTTTTCGGTAAATTTCTTTTGAAAGATGCATCACTTCATTGAGGCACAACAGTCACAAGAAAAAAATTGTCAGTGTAAGTGAAGGCCAAATAAGGAAGCTTAACTCTGATTCTCACACTTTATCTTTCTTTTACTGGCAACAGTGGTTGCTAGTTTTTCTATTGAGGAGTTTTCAGTTCTTTTTAAGGGAAGGAGGTGAAAAATTACTATGCTATGGCTTCCACAATTAGTGCCATTGTGAGGTATTTTCAGAGACACTAGCCTTGATTTAATAATTTCATTTTAACTGCAATTTTTGGGGAGCAATTTGTACAAAACGCAATGGTTTTGGGTTCATAGAGGTTGAATTAAGCAACTTGCTTGTAAGATGGATGGATTGAACTTAATGATTTATGCTAATAAGAAAAGTTGTATTAATTTGAGTGAGAGGCATACCGAGCGCTACCGAATGCGATGTGCATTTTTGGTAAATGAACAGGCTAATTGTTGTCACAAACGTGTAGTAGCGAAGAGTATAATCTGATATCATTTTTTCTCCTACGGACGGTTAGAAAACGATGGAATCTTCTGAGACCATTTTAGGGGGAGGCTTTTTATCTCGCGTAGGATAATTGTCTGTAGATGAGCCCTATTTATTTGGCCTTGTTTTTACCTTAATATTTGGTTTCATTTTTGAGCAATTTGCAAAGGGTTTGCTTAGTCGGTTAGTCAGTTGGTACAAATTGTCTTATTAGTTGACCTTACAATTTATACTCTTCGGACTTTTACTGCTGAGGCTTGAGATTTAGCTCCATTTTGTTTTCGAGATTCTTCTACACTTTCTGGCGCATGACTGCTAAGAAAAAAATTTTCTTTATTAGTTGGTAATGCCAATTCTCAATTTCTGGTGCTCATGATATTACTTTAAGATATTTGACGGGTAGCCAACATCTTTTGGTGGGCTAACTAATAGTGATCTCAGATGTTTTTAATTGTCATTTTTCAGGTTTTTATGAATCACGAGTTCTCTACCAGTGACTTTCTTACTTTTCTTGGGGTGATTACTAGAAGTTTTTCTATATGGCAGATTTTTCTTCTTTTAGACCAGATCCGGGACTCAACGGCTTCAATTTTTAGTTTTACTTATGCTTGTATCGTTAATGGATGTTGAATTTTGGTTTAGATGTTTGACGACATATGTGGAAAAAAAACATCTTTTAATGACACCTTCAAAGTACAGTATATGTTGGAAGTTGGATTTAGATGAGTATTGTGGTGTTATGTTTCTCGCCTTTTCTTCACTTCGGTCTTCCGCTGCCGTTAATCCAGTGCACCTAACGGTATTATAGTTATCAGAATATTTCTGATATTTCTTTTTTCCTTTTCTATGAACTCGAACTAATCTCCTGCGTTAGTAGAGCGGCAAAAATTAAATGAAGAGAATTAATTACTTTTAGTGCTAGTCTTCTTCTTGGCAGTAGCGGAAGGTTTTTATCGACAAAATTTATTGTTGCCCTCTGCTTAATATGATAATATAACTAGTGATGCTTTCACAAGTTCTAAGAGTTTTGATGTTTGGGATTTAAAAGCTGATTTTACTTTCTGAACGGTTTTTGTTAAATAGCTTTTAGTGATCGCTGAAACTGGTTTTGCTTTCTTTTCACATTGTAATAGTATTCAGGTTGGTCTACGGCTGCAATGCGTCATGTTTTGTTGTAATTTCAACCCCTGGTCTTTGTATGGAGTTTTGAATAGGCTAGAGAAGTGCTTAGTTCCTGCTGCCCCGGGCTCTTTACTTTTTATGCATGTATTTTGCTTCCCGATTCATAATTTCTCAATGGGTATAATATGCTTCAGAATTCTTTTAGAACAGTTGGGATTCTCTCTGATGTGGCAATGACCTTCTGTCTTATTCGTGATTCATGTATGTACATGGGTTGTAAAAAACTTGTCATTTGATTACGCGTTGGCTCTTTGCAATTTACTGTGTAGAAAACATGGGCGTTGCTTTTTAAATCTTTGCATTTTTTTCAGCATTTACTTTTTAGTGTGGAACCACGCTATTCTTATACGGGTTTGTTTTGATGACATCTGAATTAACCGATGTAAGTTTTTGCTTTTAGTTTTCTATGTCAGTGATAAGCACTTGTATAATTTTACGGTTGTATAATATCAAATCTCTTTCTGCGCTGCATTTTCTGCACAAGATAGTCCAGGTGTTACTATGAGTGCCCAACAAACTTCAAGATTTACTAATTACTTCATATTTTACATGAGAACTCTTAATTTAGGAAAAGTCGCTATTTTTATTTTTTACAGCGGCCACTGTACGACGTGAATGAAAAAGTTTTGTGTAGTTGCGAGGATGGGTTGTACTATGAAGCAAAAATCGTGAGAGTTGGTCGTGCTGAAGATGGCGGCCTCCATTACAAGGTCCACTATCAGGTGATCTTTTATTGGTCTAGAACATTATTGCAGAGTGCTTTCTCTGCAGTTTAGAACTAGTAATATGAAATATAGACAGTGGAATTAGTAGAAATTAAGTCATTTTGTTACCCAAACTGAAGTAATTCTGTCTTTCCCTGCAACTCAAAATTCTACAGTTACGAAATGACGTGTGTTGGACTATCCGAGTATTATCTATCAATCTTCCAGTTTTAATTGAAATTTTTTACTGGGGGTGTTCGTTGTGTATACTGCGAATTGGCTTTTGACTATTTGCTTTTTTAGAAGTGTATACTCTCTATTGTTAGTAATTTTTGGGTGAGTGAACGCTCTATTATCTTTTACCGCTGGTCAAGATACTCTTTTTCAGGGTTGGAGTAAAACCTACGATGAAATTATTCATCAAAATATGGTTACCAGTAGGTTTATAAGGTTGACTCCTCAAACTCTAAAAGAAGCTTTAAATGCCCAGGTTGGTAAATTGTCGTCTTGTACTTTGTGGTTTAGATTGAGGAGTAGTAAAAATGAAAGCATTATTTTCATTCAGTCTAGCTTTCTGCCAAATTCTGTTTGAAAATCTCATTGTGTACTTTTCTTAACTCATAATTTCCTTTTTTATTTCTTAAGAACGTACGGCGTGAAATGGACAGAGTGGACAAGGAGAGGAAAGGGAGAAGGAGAAGTAAAAAATCATTACCTACTGTTATTCGTAAGGACTTTGATGACGGAAAATCCAATGAAGGAAGTAGCGGATTGACGAGAAAAAGGAGCATTACTAGCAGTTCTTGTAGTGAAGGTTGTTTTCTAGTTTCTACTTATTATTGGTAGTTTTTATTATCGCTGTATCTGTTTTACCGATTATATTAGATATGTTTGTATAGGGGAGAAGGAAAGGAACTTGTTTTAGAGATTCTGAAATGACTTTCGTGTTGGATCCCGTCTTAAGATTATATTTATTAGGTTTAGCATATTTCAGAATTAAATGTTTCTTCTGCTCCTTCAAAACCCAAAGCATTTAAATTTGGAGTTGCTTCTGGAAGTGGGATAGGTCCAATGGAAGCAGGAACTAATCAGTATAGTGCTGAATTTCTCGATGACAGTTGTGTGGGTTTTACTTTATAAATCTTCTTGTAATAATGAATTAATGAATTTAATTAGTGTACTCATTTCTAATGTCTTGATGCAGCTTTTCATACAACTAGTCAAAAAAGAAATTAAAGGTTTTTAACGTATTTTTCTTTTCCTAAGGTTTTTTTCTGCAAAAAGTAAATATTTGTTTAAACGGTTGGCTGTAGTTAGCTCCCAGATACTTTTTGACTGTATTTAGGAGCATATTTTTATAGATGAGTACTTGCTTTACTAATTTCTTTGTTGCTTAAGAACTCTGTACCGCGCTGGCTTACGCACTATATGTGTGCAGTAGGTGATTTAAGTAATAACATGGTTGCATGAGATACAAGAAAAACAATTTTGATTGCCTCATATTTGTGGTTCTAGCCTTCGTCATGGGCAGATGATTCTCTAATGGTTATCCTCGAAAAGGATCGACAGCTGGTTGAAAGTGGTCTAAAAGTTTCACTTTTACCTGCGAAGTATACAGCGAATAAGATTGCAAATGAAGTAGGTGATCCTACATACCTGAAGCATTGTCAGTTTTACAGTTAGTACTGTACGAAATCTCTTTTGCCATAATTTTTTCGCTTTGCGGAACTTCTGATTTTTGCATTGTACGGTCATTTATTTTTCTTTGGGTTATGCTTTTTCAAAGCTAATCGACATTTTTTAGTTTGCGAAATATGTGCGACAAGTAAATAAAGCAAACAGGCATAATTTTAGTGGAGAAAAAGGTGCGAGGTGGAAGCTGTTTATGAAGGCATTTGACGAGTGCATCCAGGCATTCCAGGTTAAGTTTTTTATAAAACATTATTACTTTTTTACCTTTAACCCGTTATTTCAGTTGCTACTGTGAACATTTTTCTACTTTCTTATTCTACATTTTAATTTATTTAAACAATACCTTTTCACGAAACCTAGACTGGCTCAGTGTAAGAATGCGTGATGCAAGTAGTCTGCTTAATAACATACTAATAAATTTGCATAAGCATATGCAGATAAATGTTCCGTAGCTCATCTGTTGTTACACGTGTAGATGCGGTGTAGAGACTAAATTTGATTTGTGACTGATATAAAAAACTGAAGAGGTTGAAATTTCTCAATATTTGATTCTGGGTTCGGTAATTCAAGGGCGTAGTCCCCTAGAACTTTACCCTGTTGGTAATAGCTGTTGAAGCTGTAAAGGTTAAAAAACCCAAGTTTTAATTACCACTGAACGATTCAAAAATCAGTCTTTCAAGGATTTTTAAGTCAGATTCCTGGAGTACACTTTTGACCGTTCAGATCTGTTATATCTCATTGGGCTTATACAGCAGTTCATAGTCTGTTCACATTTCAAAATGCTTTAAAGTTTTTTGACATGTAATTGTAAGGACCTAAACCCGTAAGTTAAATGTTTGACTTTCTGCAGAAGTATTACATGAATGAGTAATCCTTACTGTTCCTAAGTTATGAAGAAAACTTTATCATACTCACGAAGGGGGTTTTTTTAGCTAATTTAAGTTCCTTAAAGAACCATTGAAGTCTCATTTCACCATGTGGTTTAAAATGAGTAAAAGCTTTTCCAGAACATTGTAAGCGAATGTCTCAGGAAATGTCGCGAAGTAGTAGAAAATATGGGCTCATATTTTAAGAGCTTCCCTTTGCTATATAACTCCCTAGTCAAGAAAAACTTTGTGCATTTCTTCCAAATGGTTTGTAAGTGAAATTCCTTTACTGATACTAAATTTAGGACTTTTTTGATATTGTTATCGAGAGTCGAATCTTAAGCGATACCGAGAGGACAAGACATGAAGAGTTAGTTAGCAGTGGGATTGTCACCTCCTTCGAAATTTCTGGTAATTTTAAGCCCAGCAATTTGCTAAATTTTTGAAACTTATTTTTTTTTTAGGTCCTTTTATGATTTTTTCATAAAACAACAATTAAATATTCATCGTTACTTTAATTTATCTTTTTGTTGTCCCGAAAAGCGCTGGAAGTTTTATTAATTCTTTTAAACTATAATTGTTTTAAGATTGTACAAACGTTTTTTTACTTTTTTTTCTCCGTGATCTATGACCTACAGAAACTTTTGCAGATATTTTTGAAGAGGCTAAAGGAGGTTTACGCCCGTCCCAGTATTACGGATTTATTCACGTGGTTCGGTTGCTTGTTGGCTTTGAGAAAATTTTAGTGTAAGCCGTTAGCTCTTTATTGACTTTAGTTTGAAAACAGCAGCTATTACAATAATTTGTATCTTTTTTATGAAGGATTTCTGCACTTTTATTTATAACATCTCAAAAGATAGATTTGATTTCCTGAAGTTTTCCGTTTTCCTCTTCTGCCTCTGATTGAAACATCTATAGGTTCTAAAAGAATCATAGTTCAAGTTACTAAGAGTAAGCTTTAAGTGGATCTGTTTAGCAACAGTGGTGCGTTTCAGTTATCTGGAATTTTTTCCTCTTAACTAAATAGAGTGAAGTTTAGGTGTTGGACCGCACCAGGCGTTACAGTGCAAGTATTCGAATTTTTCGTAAAAAAGTTCCTGAAATGGCTTGCTGAAAATGTCGACAAGTATTTTAGTTTTACAACTGATTATCAAGAAGTTTCCAAGGAAAAGTAATACTTGCAAGCTGTGGTTTTATAAAACTCATTTTTGTTTAAAGCTTTTATAAGACTTCTTCTCAAAGCTGCTTTGGCATCACCTCGCAGACTGCACGCAGAAACTCATGTCAATTTTAACTTCCGAAGCAACCGGAACACTAAAGACCCAAGTCCCTCAACGTACCTTCCAGTCTTAATCAGAATTAGCAGCTGGCTTACCCCGATCCTTGGCCATCCTGCGCAGTAACTACAACTCGCCAAAAGCAACAGTGCATTCTCCAACTTAGTTCCAAGTCTCAGCTATGCGCTTGTCGAATACGCCTTGCTTAGTATGGAGTACACTGAATTTGCTTTGGGTCTTCTGGCAAACAGTAAAGAGCTTTAAACACGTCACCCTCGACGAACTGCACTGTACTAAGTGGAATGATATAATAACCGTTTACTCTTACTATTAGAAATACAGACTAGAGTATCAGAACATGGAGAAATCCAGACTCAATAAAAAGAAGCGACTTCTTTGCTAAAACCCAAACCACAAATCTCCATTACTTTCATGCTTTATGAATGGTGTTAGATTGCAAACCATATTTCTATTAGAATGTCGCTGCTTTATCGTTAGAGCCTTACAACCAATTAAAAAGACTTGAGCAAACAAGACTAAATACAACTTCTTAATGCCATTCACATGGGCGTCAAATCACCTGCTTGTAAATATACATGATTCAGGGATCGCAGCAAATACTAGCTCAGCACAAAGAGTAAGAAAATAAACAAGGAAAAGAAAAATTTCCGTTTAGCTTCAATAGATAGGAATCCGTAGAAAAGATGCAGCTAGAAATAACTACACCTCACCCTCCCCTTAAAAGGAATCCCTGAACCACAGCATTATTGCACTAAGAAATAAAGCACGGAAATAAGTCCGAGAAAGAGACGAGTAAAAATGATGGCAAAAACCACCAATGTAACCGGTAATCAGGAAAAAGTAAAATCATGCCGCGAGGCCTCGCTCGACAATTTGTACACAAAAGGGCAGTGCAGCACTCGCAAGAGTCGAAATGCTTAGTTGCAAAATAAAATTTAGTGAAACTATTAGTTCCTCTTTAAAAATTAAACCAAAATGAACAAGTAATTTATGAGATCCATAGAACTTTGAATAGAAACTAGTATTTGATCACGATGTGACAGTTATAATCCTTGGACGAATACTGGGGGGTTCCTTGTTAAATCCATCCTCAGAAGCATACCGGATGATGAGTTCGACTCATTTGGATAGGGAAAAGTTGACGACCCGTCGCTATAAGCTGAATCATCGGATACTTTTGTCAGCGTAGATGAGTGGGGTCTCGGTAAAATCGCATTGTTTCCTCCAGCGCTCGGAGCTGGTGGGGGAGGTGGAGGTGGAAAATTTGGAGGAGGACGGAAGTGAGGTGTTTCTGCGTTAAAAATTAGTGATGAACGCATCGGATACTGCCTTACTTGATTGAAACAAGAGTTTTGCAAAAACGGCTGCGAACAGAGAGTCTCATACGGGATTGTTGCGTAATCATAAACGCCTGAAAACACCTTAATTATTCGTCAACACGTAGTAATGAAACAGCTGGGTAATTGTCGTAAAATTCCTTTCGAAAATTTTCAATAAGGTTCACACTATTTGATACAGCATTAGTTAGATCAGCCAACCCAAAGATCAAAAGTTAAATGTTTTAGAGAAAAGGCGGTATAGGAAAGTTTCCGTAAAAACAAACCGTTGAGAGGAAAGTCACGTCTAGAGCAGGCCATATGCACCGAGGTATTGAAACGAGGGTCAATAGAAGCGACCATTCGTTGAGGGTATTTGTCGATCTTGAGGGAAGGGTACTGCAAATAACTAGTTCTTCATGATGTTACCAGAGGCTCAAGCAATTCAAAAAAGTGAAGAAAAGAGACCAAACCCTGTGTTTGAAATTGCTTACAGGTGGAAACCAGAAACACACTTAAGGAGAGGCCGACTCATGCACTACAGCAGCAATAACCCAATCACACTAATAAAAGTGAGAAACAGGAATGAACGTAGCGCCGAGTACTCTTAACCATGCAGCAACCGAAAGACAGAGAAAGAGAGAAGCGAGATAAAGATTAGCATTAAACTGCAACACGGGTTAAGTCTGAGTTTAATTCTCATTCTAGGAAACAAAGAGCAGTTTAGTTGCTAATTCGATGACGCACCTCTCCCATGAGAACTGGAAAAGAAACCGGCACGTTGACTTGCAAGGAGAGGAGAATAACTATCGGTCCTGCCGCCCATCAGCATTTTCAAACTCTTCAAAATTTAAATAAGAGGAATGACTAAGAATTAGCAGAGTCTGCTAGTGAGTAAATTGTCTATCCAAAAACTCAACATTAACAACAATCAATTAATAATGACGTTGGTACGGCAAAAAGAGGTGGACACCAAGTAGCTGTTTGCAAACAACGCAAGAAAATCAAAACCTCGAGTTGTTTTAAGTAATATATTAATGAAAACTGACTCGATTTCGAAATGCATTTAAGAAAACAACCACCAGCCGCAAACACTTATTTTCTATGCATGCTAACTTTGTGCCGTCAAATATACCAATTCACGAGATTCAAAAAAAAAATTACACCTTGGAAACTGACTCACCCCACCTCCACAAAACGAGTATTACAAAGCAAACTAGAAATGAAAAAAAAAGTTGATATATAAAGACGTACAAAACACCTCTTTGCATCATTCAAAGTCAAATTAAGTGCTCATGGAAGCATTGCCTCATATAACTTTGAAAATTACGCAATTATCAAATTCACCTCTGAGCATGCAAATGAAGAAGTCTAGCCCCTGCTCAAGCCGTAATTTCAGCCGGTACCATAGTATTAAACATTCAATTTCACACCTACTGTAGATGTCCTCTAACCCATACTTGCATGTTTTCATTCTCAAAATCGTTCAGAATGATGCTCAACTATCTAACAGGGTTCCAGCAAAACACCAGCTTCAAATCCACCAATAAAGTCCAATTTCATCTAACAACCCAAAGTACATGAGGGCCCCTACTTAAGGAAAAAACAATGAGACATTCCACCACGCTGCATAATTTGGAAGGAAAGCAAACTGTAAATCCAATCTTCTCGGCTTTCACAAGTAACTACTCCAAATGTATTTCCAGCATTATGAAACAACAACTCCATTAGTTTAAAACCCGCTTCCTCTTCCATAACTCGTAAAATCAAAAATCATTAAAAAACTCATTTTTCAAAACCACGCAATAGAGACCGCTTCTAAAAATGGTACTCTTTATAAAATTAGTTTCCTCCTACCGATATTCTAAAACTAAACCATGGAACTTTCTTCTTACTTGTCAGGTAAAAGCACGCTTTAGTAGTATCCTTATTTGAAGGTAAAACCTTATTTTATTCAGACCACGCTAAATACAATCCGCATATCCGCAAGACTTTTTTACCACAATATGCAGTGAGTCACTGAACTGTGAAACAACTACTTCTGGAAGTACAAAAGACCAGAGAATTAGCACGACCACTTTAAATATTCAGGTTAAACCCTAGTACCCCATCGAACTTGAAGGAAGGCTAGAGAATCAAGCTTTGTAGTACAAGGCCTAACAATAGAAATCTCAATTTGCTGTACACAAAAAGATATTTCACCACCAAAACTTCGGTATTAGAGTAGCTATGACACTACATCTAAGAATGACCTTGGCGAACTTAAAAGAAAAGAAAGCCTACCAGTAATTCTGATCCTGTTGAAGAGTTGGAACTTGGATTGTATGGAACTCTGTTGCCTGGACGATAAGATGATGCATTGGGCCTTCCCGAAGAACCTGTCAAACACTTTGGAACCCAAGATGTATTCTTTGCCCACTCACGAATATCTTCCTGCATCTAAATATTTCCATTTTTCATTAGAAACTACTAATTGAGTAAGTCTGAGAAAAAGATGCAGGAAATTGGTCTTAAAGAACTTACTCTATCGTTACACACAACATGATAGAGAAAAATGAAGAATCCTTGTAGGGCATTGCATATTGTAAACAAATAGGCTAGAAGCATATTCTGCCCATCAATCCAAAAGAATCCAAATGTCCACGTCAAGCCCAATAGAAATATGAGAGCGGTAGCGCCTTTAACCCATTTCCTTCAAAACTTGATGTCATACACTATGAAAGGAAGGCGAAGAACACGTTTTAAAATTGAATATTCAAAAGTACCCTACCCAATATCACTGACTGTTGTTCTGTCGTCTCTACCTTTATACCGCAAAGGTGAGTTATGGCACTTCCCAACAATCCGAATAGTCATCAGCAGAAAGGCAAAGTTGAAAATTATAACAGCTGAGACAGGAACAGTAAAAGCAAACAAAAAGCACGAACTGCTTGGTTTAAGCCAGCAATATTCCTTTGTACCATAACTGGAATAATCTAACCACATAGAAATGCCAACAATGACACCAGAAACACCTGAAAGGAAGAACAATTAAAAATGACATTTCATTTTAAATACAAGGCAAAAATGCCGTCTCACAAATCTTTCCTGCAGTTTTTTCTTTCTAAAATACTCTTTGTAATAAATTCTTCCTAAATAGACGTACCGTATCCAGCCAAAAATAAACAAAATTTTTTCGATGACACGGGGAATACTTCGACAAGCATTCTGTACAATTCAATTCCTTCTAACAGCATCCAAATTAACGCAGCCAGAAAGAAGTAATGTAACAATCCAGCAATTATGCTACAGTGCAACTGAAACAAGCCTTCCATGAGCGAATGAGTCGAGCACAAAATCAAACTATTCTCAAATAAAGTAAATGAAGGTTAGCAGATGTAACTATTCCAAATCAGTGTTCTGAACCAACAAAATAAGTAGAATCACAAATGTATTTCAAACTATGAATTACTAAAAATGTCTTACCTTGTCGTCTGTTCGCCAAATGCCAAAAAGAAATATACTCTCTGCCATTAGCAAGGAAAAGCACAAGTTTTTGTGGATAAAAATCCTATCACCACCCCCTCTGCCAAAGCAGTGGAATGCAGCTATCGATAAGAAAAGGCAAATGATTGAAAGAGTGCAACCAGCATAAGTAAGTGCGGTAAGCAGTATTTCATCTTTCTGTGAGAACTATAAGGAATTACAGTCATCGAGAAAGCAAATGAAACTAATGAAGCCTTTAAATTTTTACTCATGAAAAAGAACAGATGAAACTGAACAAAGCCAGCAACTCACAGCTTCCCCTTTCAAGTTCATCAAAACCGCGAAATGAGTCATGTGAGAACACCTACAAACGGTATGTGTTTGATTTGTTTTTTCTAGGTCACATCCTTGTGCAGACCATTCTGAGAGCGCTGTATCCCACCATACACAAGTAGGAGATGTCATGTTCTTATGCTTCTAAAAGAAAACGTTACCCAGTAAATGAAAAACACTTTGAAATAAAGCTCAACAAAAATACTAGCACAATAGACAAAGGCATACTTTCATAACGAATGTGATAAATACTGGATGTGTGAGATGGTTTGTCGGTGCAATATCACCATTCTCACTAATTACGGAAACAGAGGTTATATTGGAAGCTATTGTTTGTTGTAAATGTGCTCCATCGTCGGTAACAAGCGGCTCGGAAAGTGTGTAGCGAGCCATACTTTTGTAGTTCACGTATACAACCCGAGCATTAGCTATAACAGACTAATTTAGTTTAAAAAACATAATTCTTGAAAAAACTACTATACAAGACAGTAAAGAAAAAGTACATACCAGTTTTTATCACAGATGACAACGCCTCCCTCGGTATATCAACGGAATCGTATGACGCATCGTACAAACTCATACTCGGAAACTTCACATAATCATGCACTTTAACGTTGGATACTTCAACGACTTAAAAAAACTGTTCAACATCAGAAACCATAATGATGCAATAGCGCAAAAGATATGACATGTTGTGTTAAAACCTTAATATTTACCACTGAACAATCCAAAAAATGTGCAAGTAACGTAAAAAATTGCAGAACAATACTTGGTGACACCACACTAAGTATGGATTAAATTGAAATGGAGACTAAAAAATCAGATATATATTTGAAAAAAGCATTAAAAAATTTTCGCAACCAAAACTCTATAAAAATCATACCAATTGATGAAGTTGAGCAGTGCTCTATGTTTTCAGAGACTAAAGAGGATGCGACAATCGCTCCGATGTTATCCACACTATTCATCAAAGTACTAGCAACCCGCTTTCTCTCCTTCGGTTTTAAATCAAACCAAGCAAAATCTTGATTCCTCTTGACCATATTATTAACACTCTCGACAACAAGCTAAAAGTAGCGCAGAAAGTAGGAAGGTTGACATAGAACCACTAAAACTGAGGAAAACAAAATAACTATTTAAAACCTCTAAAGTTTCAGCGTTCCCTTCCGAACGCGGCAGTCGTGAAACAGAATGAGTAATGACAGATGAGAGGACAGCAAGATCACCGCCATATAATTCTTCGTTTTTTGTCAATTTTCGGACTTCGTTAAGTGTATCTATTAAATTCACTTCATCCTTTTCCTCTGACAAATCCTGCTTTAACCTTAAAAAGTGTCATATGTGCTTCAAACGAATATCTATTCCTTAGTCATGGCAAATCCAATCTAATTGCAACACGAACTTTCGTTTCTTTTTCAAAATATAAATACACAGTTACATTAAAAAGCTAAATGCACTGACAGAGCACTCCATTCACTGACACAGTTCGACAGATCATAACCACCCGAGCTCCAGGTACCATTTAAACTACAAAGCCACTCGGCATGACCGAGAAAATTTGCAGGACAGGGTACTTTTGAAACACTTCCAGCTTTTGTTTTAGGCCATTTAACGCCTCTCCTTTCAATTGGATTACAAAATCCTTTATCCCTAGACACAGGCGCCGCAGACACGCGATCACTAAAGAAGTAAAAATGAGAGTAAAAAGTTGCACTCGAATAAGCCACTAGCGCTTTTCTTTCCAAAAAAAACAGTAATTGTCATAAATTCTGGCTCAAAACAGACTCCTTCAGATTAAAATTCAAAAACTCTTTAAAGTCCTTACGAGGGAAGAACTTCCTCTAAATTAGTAGTTGTGGTTGTAGTAGCTAGCAGTGTTGTAGTCGTTGCCGCAACGGTTGATGTCACTGAAAATGGTATAAACTGCATATTTGTGATCCCGAAAAGTAAACACCAATTAACAGTTGCAGCACAGTTCAAGCAAATATCATGCCACTGCAGCACAATTTTAAACAGATCCCACAAAACCACAAATAGATACTATCATATCAGAAAAAATCGCAAAATAACCAAACTCTCAAAGAAGAACGTAAAGATGATTTAAATATCAAATAAATAGTACCAGCTACGTCAGTGCAATCATATTTTAATTCCAAGTATTTCTTCGTTTTGGGACATGGGTCACCAAACAACTCGTCGTTCACAGTAACTGAGCAGACATTCCTTCCGTTACATCTATACAACACAACATCGATTGTAAAAGCACGACACAACATCGACTTTTTTACAGAAAAATAAAAAGCATAAGGACTTCGAATAAGGAAGTCATGCAGTGAAGCAACAACAATCACACCATCAAACAACTTTAACTAGGAGCAGACCTCAGAACATCAAAAAAAATTTTCGTGCTCTAACCAGACTGTATACCTACTCGAACGAACCACAATACAAATTTACAAAAATTTAAAACTGATACGTGAAGGGACAACTGCCCTCTAACTGATACTTCTACCTCTTAGGCAGCTATAAGACGCTTCCAAGTACTTAGAAACCCCTGGGCAAGGATCCCTCTCAAACCATCTTTCATCAACCAAGAAGCTGCATTTACGTTTACCATCACAACTAAAAGTTTCCAATCCTAAGAAAAGATTAAAGATATATCAATAAAAGTAAAACAGTACTGGTTCTTTGACCAAGAAATTCAAGCATTCCCTAAACTCCAGTAAAATGTTAGATTTCCGCAAAATAAAACTGAGCAGCCCACTTGTGAACTGAAACACTTAAGCAAATGGATTATTTTATCTGTTTAATGTCCAGACACAACCAGGTAATTAAAGACTTTATAAAGCAGCCACAATTTGCCAAAAATTGAAACCAATTTCAATTAGGGTCCCAGCTAAAAAGCTATAATAATGTCGAAAAAAGAACCAGGAAACTAGGCGACCCTCTAACGACGAATTTTTTTACAAGTTTATCTAAAATACTGAACTTTATTCTTCCCATCACATTTTTAAAATAGCTACCCCTAAGTCATTATAATTTGCAAACCTTCTCAAGCCTTAAAAAAAAAGATTAAATCAGGCAGACAATTTGAAACTCACAGCATTACGCTAATCCTGAACCATACTAATCTACGGCAATCTGCAAAAAAATTCCAACTTTTCGAACATAGAAACAAAAATTTTTTTTAATCTTCGAAAAAAAATCAGTGACCAGAAGCATAAAAAGTTCCTTCAACCATCTGTTTTTGGCCGAGGGCAGTTCGGAGAATTAGGAGACTTACAAATGATAATCTTCTCTTTAATGAGCATTTAACACTACTTAGTGGATGCAAATCACTCACCTCTTCATTTCTCTTCCTCTTCAACAGCTACGCACAAAAAAATTTCTAAGTTGCTTCTTTAAATAAAAAATTCTTCATACTCCTTTTCTGTCAAAATGTTTCAGTTTTAAACAACTGAGTAATCCAAATTCTACCAACCTGAACAGCAGTATCTAAGGTTTATAATTTACTCAACTAATTTTGGCAGAAGGCAATTTGGAAAACAAGGACAAAAGAAGGATTGTGGTGAAATATTTAAAAGCTGATGAAACAATGTATAACAAAAACATTATTGTCTCAAATAACGTAATTAAACAACTCATATTTCTCTCGCAAATTGTTTACCGAACAATAATATTTGTAACTTAAACATTGAAATATTGAAATCCACAAAAAACATTGGCCGTCAGTGACCTTCTTCTTCTAAAACCCTCTACTACGTTCACAAAAACTAAAATTTCTTCCGACTAACTGTTCAAAATATACTGTTTTTTTCCTAGGCGGGCAAAAGCCTTCCCACTAAAAAATTCCAAAATACACCCAAGCCTAAAAAAAATTTCTCCTGTGAAGTTATCTGAGAGCATATCCTTGTAAATTAACTTTTAGAAAACTCAAATTACGTAAATCGTATAAAACGTTCATCTAACCCTTTATTTAATCAGTAATAACACCTTTGGTGCAAAAAATTCAACGCCAGAAAAATCCCACCTGCCTGCATAACACATTAAGTGTTTCGCAAACCGTCTATTAGCAAACCC